AGTGCTGGAGGGAAGAAGCCTGCCATGAAAACCCCATTCCCTGAACTGTCCGAATAGGAGTGAGTGACTCGGGGAAGCTGTTTGAAAACCAGATACAGGAGACCAACCATTATTACGTTTGCACGTCCTGTTTCTGTTTATACAGCACCTTCGCATATGTTAGGGTATGTTTTTTCTTCACAGCAATTCTGTACATTAGACAGGAAATGCAAATTTTATCTGACTTATGGAAGTACAAGCTAAAAGCCAAAAAGAATTTTAAAAAGAGCTGGTAGCTAGGCTTTTAAACTCTCAAACCTGAATGTTTATTTCTGCGGTGCTAGCCAAGGAAGGATTTGAAGCAGTGCAGTCAACTTTGTTTTTCCTCGTTAGGCTTGTTATCTGATTTCCATTAAGGTCCAAATAACAGACCGTGAACACCTCTGTTAGCTACATTCTCAAACAGGAACAGGTGTACATCCACTGAGTTTACTTATTTTGTACTTTTGAAACTCAACAAAGAATGGAAAATATAGAAGCCTATGGGGGCATAGGAACTGCAATCCAGGGGCAGTATGTGTGCTGGCAGATGAACCTATCTTTTCAAAACATGATATTCAATAGTGAAAGTTACGTAATTCAGAACTACGTTTAACTTACCTATCTCCAAATCTATTATTAAAAATCATATTAATTTCCCTAGTTCTTGGTCAAAGATTGATGAATTTAGCACTGGAACGGCGTTTGTGGAAGCGCAGTTAGTGATCATCGTTGGCTTAATGCCTGTTGCTACGTAGCAGTTGACTGTGAATCTTAATCCACTGAGTATTTTCCCGTAGGAACTTGGGTCCTAAATTTCACTCGGAACAGACGTAACATTTGGAGTTCGAGACTAAATTTTACAAATAATAAATATTTCTTTATTATAATTACTTGTGTTTGTCCTCTTAAAGCTTGAAATTCTTATCTTCCAATTAGTATGCAATTGACTAAATGATACCAGCACACATTTACTCTCTATAAAGCTTAATGTGACCAGATAACAAGAACTGTCCTGTATTAGTAAAAGTTTTCTAGCCTAAATGATATCATTTCCTCTAAACATTAAATATCTGCCACTATAAAAACATTTTTTTTCAGAACTCTATAGTTTAAAAAGCTATTGCTTCTCTATAAGCAATAGTTACATTACGGAAGTGATTCTAGAGGGAAATAAACTGCCCCCAGATTAGTCGTTCTTGATAAATTCTACAGACAAAACTCCAAAAATAAATATTGGCTCAAATGTAGTTGCTTTCAGAATGTAATATGCAAACTCACATCCATGATGTATGACATCTTTATCTTTGCCAAACAATTTAAATTGAAAACTTAATTTGTGTGTGGTATGTTGTACCCTCCTCCAAAGTCACTTTTCAACCAGATTCACTGTGTTCAAGACACCCTTAAAAACATTGTATGTTTAACAATCCCCAGTTCTGTTAAAAAAAAATTACTTTCCTACTAAGTTGGAGAAAAATCCTAATATAAAATTCCATTAAAAGGAATTTCATTTTATAACAGCACCTGATCAATAACATGTTGCATTTTGCTCGGCACACTTCCTTGCATTAGGTATTCACATGAGTAAGCCCAATAGTGGTGTGTGTTTACTGTAATTTTCTTTTGCACATAAAGTAATATCCCTTGTCAGCAAGCACAGTGATTGGAGATTAGATTTTGTAACCGTAGAGACTGACAAGTATTTCCTTCCTTGCCATTATGAGACCCATCCTAAGGGTACATGAAGGGAGTGGTTATCCTAAATAAGGCATGACATGTTGTCTTGAGATCAATGACATTAAACATTGTGTTTTAGGAAGGACTGGTGATAGGGGCAAGCACATTAGCTAGAGCATCTAGGGATGAACATTTGAATGAACTCTTTGAGACTTAATGTTCCTCAGAGTCCACAGAGCTCATTAAGTGTAAAATACGAAACAAGATGTTTTTCATCTCCCAGCAAGAAGCTATCCCAGGTCAGACCAATAATACAGCTAATAGTATTTTTTTCTAACAGTAGGAAAAGGGTCAGCATAGTACCTCATCACACTCAAAGGATACTAGTATGTGCGTATTACCCTCTTATTTAATTCATGAGCATCTAACGTGAATTTTGCATACTCCTTTTATTAATTTTAAAGGTCCAAAATATATACAAATGTTTATATCATGTAACTAGAGAGTCCTAAGTATTTATTTAGTTAATAGGCATCACACCTTCAGACTACAGTACGAAAAGTCACGCCAATTCCTATTATTTAGTGAGGAGTAGTAATTTAATCAAGAGAAAAATATCAAAGAGCCTATGAATAGCTTCTGTTACACACACACACCACCAAATTTCCAATGAATAGCTTCTGTTACACACACACACCACCAAATTTCCAAATTTGCAAAGGAAAACCAGCCACTAAATAGTATATTTATCACACAAAAAAGTGAAAAGACATTGGAACATTGGGAATAGTAGTTTACGTAAGGTGTTGTTATTGACCTTTAGATGCCAAACACATAACTATCATCTTTTTATATACATACATTTTTTTTTATTGATTTCAGAGAGAGGGGGAGAGAGAGAAACATCAATGACGAGAGAGTCATTGATCGGCTGCCTCCTGCACACCCCCTGCTGGGGATCGAGCCTGAAACCCAAGCATGTGCCCTGAGCGAGAATCGAACCAAGATCTGGATCATAGGTCGATGCCTAACCACTGAGCCACGCCGGCCGGGCACTGTCATTAAAAACCATGTTGTAATATTTAAACAAAATGTTTCATTCTCTAAGCCAATTTCTTTTATCCTTACTCTCAACAACAAGAAAGAAAACTATTTCTTTTTAATTATTAAATTCCCCCGAGTCTTTTCTTATCCACACGTTATGTACAATCTTAGTTTTCCTTAATAAAGTTTGCTTTTCAACTTTTTAAACATAATTCGTTTGAATGCTCCTGCTCCTTTTGTCTAATATCCCTCTATGCACCTGATATGAATTCAAGTATTTAGTGAGCACCCACTTTGCTCTGAAATTCATCATCTCTCTAGGTCCAGGAGTTTATCTCAGGTGTTGGGTGGGGACCTTTCTTGAAAGTTTAATGGAATAGAAGAAGTACCTTTGGCTTCTATGTTTCCAGCGGTCTCGGACTTCTGCCACTCTTCCTCCAACACCACCGGGCGTAAGCAACTCCGAACCTGGAATCTCAGCATCCCCTAGAAAGATTGTGAAACAGAGAGATCAGGGATTTAAAGAATGGAAGTAGCGATGCACATTCTTGGACAGGGACTCCATTATTTCAGTGACATGTTGGTGGATCTTCTGGAATTTGAGTGATCAAAGTCCTTATGGGGTGCTTGAGATTGTTCTATAACACTAGCAACTCTTCACGTACTCAAGGAATTTGTCCAAAGATCCACACAAATGTCCCAGATTTTAATTGAGAAACCATTGATTTATTATTGAATTGTGATGCTATATAGTTAAGTCCTCACTTAATATTATCCACAGGTTCTTGAAAACTCCGACTTAAGCAAAACGATGTATAATGACACTGATTTTACCACAGGCTGGTTGTTAATAAGCAAGAGTCAAGTTCCTATGGCATATTTCTGGTCACAGAAACATCACCAACCTTCTAATAAAGACCCAAAATGCTTCTAATATTAAACATTGAAATAAATGTGAGCTATAAATACATTTAAGAAAGATTTATAAAAACAAGAATTATTTTCTAATCTGCTATTTCAGTTCAGGGCCTGGGGTGGCCAGAGCCTATCCCAACAGCTCAGGGCACAATACGGGACAGGGCCCTGCACAGGACTCCCATCGCGGGGCACACTCGCACTCACATCCACTCACTGCGACAATGGCGCACGCGNCAATACGGGACAGGGCCCTGCACAGGACTCCCATCGCGGGGCACACTCGCACTCACATCCACTCTCACTGCGACAATGGCGCACGCAGTGCATCCCACGTGCACATCTTGGGGATGTGGACACTGGAGGACCCAGAGAAAACATGTGCCCACGCAGACACGGGGAGAACATCCAAAGTCCATGCAGACAGTGGTATTCAAGTTGCTTTTTCTTATGATTCAAAATAAGTTACCAAGAAATTTTAATGCATTATTAAATAGGTTGAGAAGACAATATAATGGTCTAGCTCTATGTTGGACTTCTGAATTTATTTTGGAAAAATCATAGTTATATTTTAAAACTTCTCACTGGTATTTTCACAGCACATTTATCTAGTACTTTTCAAGCTATTCTCACAGTATTTACAGCATCTCCTTTAAAGCCTGAATTTAAAAATATCTGTATCTTCTTACTACGTCTGAAATGTTTCTTCATGCGTATGCTTTTGAGCCAGGTCTTAGCAAGGTCCCAGCAGGCTTTACGAATGTGAACTTCCTTTGCAAACAAAACTCACTCAGAAC